GACCCAATCGCAGCCTGTATATGAAAACCAGTAACACCTTTCTCTCATACATTCCCCCGCGTTGAGAATACACCATACCCTACGTCTCAGAATCTAAAAATTATTACTAATAGTAAAATAGGTCAGAAATTATACAATCTTATTTGGCACAAATAAAAAATCTGCAAAGCACAATTTCAGTAAGCATTTACGTAGTAGATGACAGAATTTTCAAATTTTCACACACATTTTTAAAGCAAAGATCACAAAATACATTAAGAGACCAAATATGGGTTCCTTTGCGAATAAAAATTCTGCTATCAATATTGCTAGTGGCCAATTAAATAATTTATTACGAATATTAAAATTTCTCTCTCTCTTTATCCTGGCATGTAAAAAAAAATACAAACATGATTACAACTGCAACTGTCAGTGAAGCATCAAACTGAATCAACCACTCAGTAAATTCTGTACAATCATTGGTTACATTGACTGCTCGGCCGTGATGATATCACACACAAAATGGTTGATCATATCTTATTATGGTAATATTTACATTAGTATACCTCCCCCCCTTTACCACTCCTCTGTATCTACTCCTTCCCTGCTCTCTTTTGTCCTCTTCCCTCTCTTGGTCCCTCCATCTTGTCCTTATTCTTCCTCCAACGGTAATTTATTCAACATCTTCAAAGTAATCCTACTGATCCTACTGTATCCTATTTATGAGAATTTCATATTGTTGTATCCTTCATTTGACCAACTTTTCTTCTACTGTTTCCATTTTCATTTTTCCCCCCATATCCTTGTTTCGAATTTTATTCTTTCTTATTTATTTCCTGTCTTAAAATCCAACAGAAATGTCATATCTACTTTCTTCAATATGAATAAATATCTTCTTCCATATCGAAATTCTTCTGCTCCAGATGATAAAAGTTTTACAAAACATCGCTTTAACCCTTTCTGAAACTTTAAGACAATACTTTTGAGAGTCCAGTAACATTCTCTCTTTAATTTCATCATTAAAAAATTTCATTACCCAACCAAGAAATTAAGAGACAAGGCGCAATTTACATTTTTCTTCAACTACAACACAAGCTGGCACAAACTAACGAGAACGCAAGGGTATGATGCACTCTCGGTAACAAAAGATGCGCTGGTACTTTTCCGAAGTACCGCGCACATACACTCCCAGGCAGCAAATAATTTTAAGTGTAATCGACCATCGTCAGAACCCTTTAGAATTTAATTACTCCCCGAGAAACATCAACACACAACAAACCCAACCGACATGATATCGAAATCGGCACTTACAATGTGACGATGTCTGCGTTAGCTTCTTCAACAGCGATAGTGAGGGGCGTCATCCCTTCAGAGTCTTGGAGGTGCTGATTGGCTCTGTGTTTCAACAGTAAGCATACTTGTGCAGTGTGACCTATAAGACAGCAACACACATCAAAATTAATAGCTATTAAAAACATACAGTAACGAGCTGCAGAAACCACTTGAACTACGCTATGAATATCACGACGACATCCATCGTCAATCAATACAGAACAAGAAATATTCCAACTGCAAAATAATAAAAATTATTACCCAGTTCTGTGGCTAAATGAAGAGGCGTCTTCCCGTCCGCATCCTGCGTATTGATTTTGGCACCATTTAAAAGAAGAAACTCTACAGCCATTACAGAACCCTGTAAAAAAATACTAATTTTTGTATGAAATTAATAAATACTTATAATCATAAAAGTCAGTGAATATATGTTTCCCTGAATAGGTTCACCTGTGCAAACGCACTGTCACGCCTTTGCTTTCTTTATGCCGGTGTTAAAACGTAATTTTACGATCAAATTCACGAAATTTGACACTCAAATACCTACATACATATCAAGGAATATGAGATGGATATAACATGCAGCATGCTTAAGAAATGCACACAGAATTTTAATTGTTAGAAGGGGGGATATGGGTCCGCAGTGGCCGCGCAGTCTGTGGCGCGGGTCTTGTTCCGCTCGGTCGCAGGGACCGTGGGTTCGAATCCCACTCAAGCCATGGATGTTTTTCTGTGTTGTGCTGTCCTGTGTACATGTAAAGGCCTTGTGACGGGCCGATCCGTCGTCCGAGGAGTCCTACCGAACGTCTGTAAATCAAGCCAACTGAAAAGTTGGGGACCCGTAAAGGGTACCGGAAAAAGAATAAGAAGGGGGGATACTAAAATTAATTTTATATAAAAACAGTGTGACATTGTTTAATGTATTCATTTATCTTACAACACAGACTACCAGAGGGCTCTTGTGAATATGGTAACAAACCTTTTTGTTCCATACGAGCCTGGGAATTTCTTGACTAGATGAATGATTATCAGCTTCTCAAGAACTCAGCTTCGCAGAATTAGTTACACATCCGTTAAACTTACACTAATGATGGCTTGGTGGATGGGACTACGAGATCTGTCGTCCGCATTGTTCCAAAGTTTGTCAGCGCCCGCAGCAAATGCCTCACACATAACAGGTAAATTATGAGCTGCTGCAGCTTTATACAACAGCAGATTTGGGTGCAGCTTTGAAATGTCTTCCTCCCCTGTCAATATGACACACTTTGTAACAAGAGGATTAGTTAAACCAGTAAGTTAAAATACAGCGTGTCCACAAAGTCCCTTCGGGGTTTTGAAAAATTGTGGCGCGCAAACAGGAAGATGGATCGGCAGAGACGGCCCAATGCCTTGGCCTCCGCGTTCACCAGACTTAACACCACTGGATTTTTTTCTTGTGGGGTCATGTCAAGAGCAATGTGTTTTCCGAACACCAGTTAACGGACTTGATGACCCGAATACCCGTATCAGGAATGCGATCTCGGCTATTCCAGTGGACATGCTCCACAGAACATGGCAAGAGCTCGAATATCGTCTGGACATTCTCCGTGCCACCAAGGGAGCCCACATCGATGTCTACTGAGGTCAGTAAAAAACTTCCAGAGTTTCACTGTAATCTACTGCAAACCGCATGTGGCTAGCTCAATTTGTTTGCTCGCCGCAATTTTTCAAAACCCCGAAGGGACTTTGTGGACACATTGTAGTTCTAGTGGCCGTTTCATATGGGTATGGAACTTGGTTCAACAGTCTAAGGGAAGTCCTTAAGAATAAAGTGCACCGAGAAAAATTTGGGCAGAGACAGATGAAGTACCAGGAGGATGAGGAGACTTACGTGATGTGGAAGTTCAAAATTGTAAATCTTCACAGAACATTACTATAGGGATTTAATCAAGGATGAGTAAACAAAGATCATGAAGGTAATGAACTTACTGACTGATTCCTAGGTTAATTAACAATATCTCAACTTTGTAAGTTGAAAGTATCAGATGCAGCCTATTTTCAGGTACTAATCCAACATCTGGAGAAACAGAAGAAAAGGAAAAAAAAAAACCTCAGTAAGGACAGTGGATCACCGAACCAAGATCCAAACCCGAGGTCTTCGAAATATGAACTAGTGTCAGCAACGAACTGATACATTTAATCTTTAAGGACCTAAGAAAAGTTCTACGAAAGAAAATTACGCATAAGATGGCAGGCGTAATGCTGTAATTACCTATAAATTCATCATCTTCACCACCGGTTGAGTCTTGATCACTACTCAGTTCTATAGAGCCTTCTAGTGGGTGTTTCTCGAAGTTCTTCCCAAACATAAGCACATCAGCATTCACCAACTCATTTTCAGTGTTTGAGAAACCTGAGTCGCTGCCTTTACTACCTTTTAACGAAGCTTCATTTGTCTCATCTGATACTTCCTTCTCTGATTCTGGACTCTGTGTAGCACTGCCACAATATTCAGACCTGGTATCTTCGTTACTTTCTTCGTTACCTTCAGAATTTATATCCATATTCAAAGTGTTTTTGGTTTCAGAAACACTAGGCAGTAGCTTTGTTGACTGCGACTTCTTTTCACGTGCACCGTCCCTGCTCTTCGGTCTCCTCCGCAACTTTCTGACACTCCACTTTCGAACTGAGAGCGGGCGTGATGATCGTTGGTCGGGAGACGCAGACTTCTGGTTTGACGAAGGCAGTACTGATAACTGTTTAACAAATCGACGTTCAACATATTTTGCTTTGATCCATGCTTCGCGGATGTTTCTACAAATAAAACAAAAATAATGTCAAGTTTGTGTGGGTTTTAATAAAGAGTTAGCGTTGATAAATTATCTGGCTTCCTACTGAAATGAATAAGCTTGTATAGAAAGTGTCTTCTGAGCTTTATGAGGTCAAGAGATTTTTATGGTGTTCTTGAACACGAAAGATCTTTTTGGTAACAGTTATACATAGCACACCACAAAATAAAAAATCATTATACTTACCCATGACATTTCGGAGTTGCACGTGCAAACTCGGGATCCATATCGGCCTCATAAACTTTATTCACAATCGAATTGCCAAGTTCAGCCATAACTTTAAGAATCTCTGGTTCCCACGCATCCAATGTGAGCGATCGTACCTTACTGTAGTGAACGCCGAGACTACGATGTACTCCTGAACATTCTACAAAAGAATATACCTTTCAGAAACATAAAAGTACGTAGGGTTTTGACGTCCACAGTCTTTAAAAATAAGTTCGCAAAGACTACATTTTATTAAATGAACTACGCTTCAGACAAAAGTTTGTCCATTGTAATCCTGGGGGTTATAGGAAAACTTTCTTCATATAAAATCTGATATTATGGGAATAAGAAAGGATGAATCTGGGAATCTCCTCTAAATACAGTCTTATGCACCGTCATAATAATGAATGTTGTAATGTAGTTATGTATTTATATCGACGTATACTACGAATACCCTGGGTGCAAAAAGTCTCTAAAATTGAAGTTCTCAATCGCGTGAATAAACAAAAGGAACTACTGCTTGCCGTTAAGGAAAGAAAGGTCCGGTATTTGGGCCATATCATGAGAGGAGTACGCTATGAGATCTTAAGACTGATCATCGAGGGCAAAATCCAAGGAAAAAGATCCGTCGGTAGACCCCATAACTCCTGGATGAAAGACCTAAGAAGATGGTTCGGATGCACCTCAATAGACATCTTTCAAGCGGCAGTCTCGAGGACAATGTTCGCCGCGTGGATAGCCAACCTTCGTTCGGAGATGGCGCAATAAGACGAAGAAGAAGAAATATGTTTTGAAAAAAGAACAACAGACCAAGGAAAGGAAATGGAAATGGTTGGGACACACGTTTAGGAAAGAGGATGAGAGAATTTCAAAGCAAGCGTCGGACTGGAACCACCAAGGCGCACGGAAAAGAGGAAGACTGAAGATTACGTGGCGGAGATCTATCGAAAAAGAAGCAATATCACAGGGGAAAAGTTGGAAGGAAATAGAGGCACTCGCCAACAACCGAGCAAGGTGGAGGAGCTTTATATCAGCCCTATGTTCCCAAGAGGAACAAAAGGAATTAACTAAACATGTTTTGTTTGCACATAGTAATTTTTTTAAAATGTTTGGTCAGCGGTGAGTTTGCCATCACAAAACAAAGTCTGGATAAGTCAAAAATTCTTCTTTTCCTTTAAGACCCATCAACAACCTGAAGAGCTCATGCAACACTGGTTACACAACTTACCAATACAAAGTGTAATTCCCAGGTTGATGCTGGCCCATCTCGGATTCACGATGTCACAATCACAGCAGTGATCATTGCCTGGAATTTTCAGCAACTGTTCCCACATTCTAAATGCAGTAACAGCCACATATTAACCACCATATAACAGTATATTTCAACACATTTTTACATCAACAGCACTTTATAATAAGGTATAACCAACCTGTTCTTGCGCTCTCTCTCTGGTGATGGTTTCTCGACAGGATCTCCGACAGTGCTTCCACTGGGCGAGTGAGACGCACCCGAGTCCTTTCCGCCACCATTAACACTGCCACCGGTACTAGCAATACTTGGATACGCCAAGGAACCTTCTTCACTAATACTTAACTGTATCGCGGCTCCTATTCCCTGCTGCATTGCCGATATCCACGACTGATACATCTCGTCTGAGTCAGCCTGCAGCATGTGACTCCTGAAAACCATAATTCATGTCATCCTCCTATTTGATGCTACATAACCCAAGTATCAACCAACCAAAAATCTAACTAAGAACAGGGTCTATGGCAAGTCCAAGATATCAGCCGTTGCTAAGTAAATCATTCCCGCATATGAAATGCATAGGTGGAATCGGCAAACTGTGCCTTAAAACTATAACTGGGAGTACGCTTACACTAACGGAAGTTTTGTCTTGGCAGAAGGCCTTGGACATGTTCAGATTAGGGGCTACCGATACTGGTGGGACCCCACTTAATGGTACCTGCACCTGTCAAGGTGGTGGGGCTTGAGTACCTCAGTGACCCCAAGAGCTATCCTGGCGGTAGCATAGCTAATGGTAGGGGGAGAGGTCAGACTAAGACAGGTACCCTGGTCCTCCAGGTTGGGGGTTGGTCGCAAGGCTAGCAACCGTGCGCCGTAAAAAGGAAGACGTTTCAAAACCTCAATCAAAGCCTTGGACAGACGGACCTAACGGAGGACTGAACGGAAGAGGAGAATTAAGGAGGCCATGGACTGAATACGGACCGGAGAGCCATAGAAGAAGAAGAAGAAGAAGAAGAAGATACTGGTGGGAAAATAATCCCATCTAGCAATTCGTCCTTTGCATAATGTACGTAGTTGAAGAACCACTGTCACATAAACTGAGAAAAAAACAAGAAGATTAAAGAAGAGGTTACATAGCAATTTTTATCAAGGTATAAATTGCAATAGCTTCAACATTAAGCTCTGTACAATAAGTATAGTAAATTTGAATAAAGTCTTGCAGATAGACTGCATGTTACGAGAGCTTGAAGAATAGATCTGCAGTGTCTGCGTGTGTAAAGCTGCAGGAACAGCAGCAAAAGAAAACTGGATGAAAATGTGTTAAAAATAAAGAAATGTCTGCGGAATTCTTACTTGGTTGGCGAGAGAACCTCAAAGCAAAAGCGTCGATCACCTTCAAGAACAGGTTTCACTGAACAAAGACGCAGATCTTCTTCCATTACAGTTACACTGTCTTCACCTAAAAACAGACGCTTACATGTAAAATAAACGTAAGGCGCAATAGGTACGTGTTATATAGAGGGGATATTAAATCATTACACTTGGCGTACCAGTGCTGCAAACATATTCAAAGAAATTCATCCTCTAATCTTCAGTTAAACCACTTCCGAACATACGCACGTGAATCGAGATTTGAAGTTCTCGTGTGAATATTTTATAGCGGCATTCCATTACATTGCAAATGACATTTTTAACTCACCAGTACGTTTCCTGTATACCAACTGGTTATCCTGTAAAGCAAACCAACGTCTATTCCAAGTTTTGAAAGCATTTGACGTTCTCTTGAACAGATATCCCTCCATACGAGGTGCTCCATTACGCCCTGGCGGAGGTACAAAATCCCGGGTTGTTACAAAAGTGTGCCTGTTCTCCATTTGCTTCTCCAGTTTGTTACACTGTTGTCGCATTTCCACAACCTGATAAAAGTCAGATAAAAAATTATGGAGAACATTCTTAACATTGCCGTCTTCTGGGTTGTGGTCTGGTAGATGTTTACAGACATTTCAGACTACAAGGCGGATCAACCCAGAGGACAGCGATCTTCGGACTCGCCTTCGCCTCAGATCCTACGAAAACATTCTTGTATGGGCGTGCCTAATCACAAACAATATCTGATAAATAATTACGCTAATATCAGTAAATCACACACAGCAATCATAAATGTCTAATGAAAATTCCACATACATTTTATTGTTTTATGTTTACCCATTTTTCATATTTACTAATGAAGTATCAGTTTCATATAACACAACATTCAAAGCATACTGAAAAAATTTATGTAGTAACTTCGTAACGTCTGAAGTATCTAGTTCAAATGCGCAATTTCAACGACCGCTATCAGTTTCAAGACCTCTACCTAAATAAAAATTTCTCACAACGATAATCACATTGTCCTCACTTAATGGTACCTGCACCTGTCGTGGTGGTGGGGCTCGAGTACCTCAGTGACCCCAAGAGCTACTGGTAGGGCCTCCCTAGCCAGATTGATCGAGGGGGAGAGGTCAGACTAAGACAGGTACCCTGGTCCTCCAGGTTGGGGGTTGGTCGCAAGGCTAACAACCTTGCACCGTAAAAAGGAAGATGTTTCGAAACCTCGATCAAAGCCTCGGACAGAATGAACCTAACAATAGGACCGAATGGAAGAGGAGAATTGAGGAAGCCATGGACCGAATATGGACCAGGGAGCCATAGAAGAAGAAGATAATCACATTGTATCCTCTAGATGCAAATGCTGGAGATGGCCCTCTAGAATTCCAGGGTAGCTATCAATATACAGAATAAGTAATAAAATCTTGAGTTTAAAAATAACAGCGTACTTACATCATCAGCCAGTTTCTTAAAGAATGGATCCAAATCTTGGCATAAATCTGAACCCTGGTGGAAGAAGGTGCTATATGCATGCATGTACGATAACAGCTGTGAAATGAGAAAAAACATTTTTGAAACAGCTTGGGATTTCAAGGGTAAGATCTGAAGCACTAACTTCATACATAAATTGCAAGGGAAAGGAAATACACCAAAAAACAAGAATTGCATTAACAAAATACTATTTTTCACTTTCATCTTCCAGTGTTACAAACCAGAAAATATTTGATCTTCATTTTAGTGTTGACAGCTTAAGAACTAACTTATGGAAATATAATCAGTGTGAAAAAAACAAAAAGAAATAATAGGTAAGTCACACGTCTTGAAATCTCATTATTTATTATTTTTAAACTCGTTTGGTTTACTGAAATCATACAATAATAAATCAATGTAATAGAAATATCAGTGGAATTAACCTTTAAAATGAAAGTCTGTTTCAAAATTAAGTAATTAACTTTCAGTTCTCCTGAGACCTTCCAACACCTGGGCAAACTTAATTCAAAAACAACAGACGTCATCTCCGTAAGTGGTAATTTGTAAACGTCAGACTTAAAATTCTCATCACGAGATTCCTTGACTGGGATAACACGGAAAATATGTAAAACGCTAGATTATATAAAAAAAATCTTACGCAATTTCATGAAGATTCAACAAACTCAAAACATATCAAATATCTTTTACTCACCGTTCCTAAAACCTCGGGTTTCTTCCTTGCTTGAAGAATACTCAGACAATACACGTGATCAAGAGCAGTGTGCCGGAAACACGAGCGCGTTGCGCACAGCAAGTTCTGAGCCTCCTCTGCCTCCGCGGGGCGACTACGCGGTGCCTGCGAGTTCCGTGACAACGCCGTATCCAGATCCACCGAGATCTTCTCAAAGTAGTGACGAGATTCACGCAATCCTTTTATATCCCTGCGGACGGAAGTTGAAAACAAATCAACAAATTCACTTCTCTGCGTAACGTTCCTGGCTTGCGATCATAAAGAACGGTTAGCTTGTGCATTATTTAACAACACTTTAACATTTTTACGCCATTCAGTGTTGAACAAGGTAAAATAAGTACGATTTGAAGTTTCCACGGCGGTGAATCCGAAGATGGCTGATTTGAAGTTTCCACGGCGGTGAGTCCGAAGATGGCCGTCATCTGCATCATAGCATCGTATAGGCTGGTAGATATTTACCAACGTTGCTGCCTCCATCATCAGGACGATAATGGAGGCAGAAAGGACCTCTGAAAGATAATATTAAATGGGGGGAGGATATGATACGGGCTACTTCAATATACAGGAAAAACTGAAGAAGAAAAAAAAGAAAAAACCAGACAGGATAGGTAACATACAAACAAAATTTTGGCAGTCCTGATATGCAACAAAATCTTTCAGTAATCAAGAGCGGATAACTGCATAAACTGAAATGGATACCAGAATTCTTACCCCTTGACGAAAGACGTGAGATTCTTTAGTATGGTGCGAGATGCTTGATCCAGTAGAATTGTATGAAACTTATTCATTTCTTGAAGAACGTGAATTAACTTGTTAAGGCAGACCACAACATCTGCGTCATCTCGAAAGTAACTGCTGAGATCCCACAGGCTGTTGGCAAACTGACTGACAACAAACAGAATACTATTAACACAAATACGAGCGTTGAAAGATGAGCCCCTGGGGCATAAATGTATTTTCAAAAAGATTTTGTTTGCTATTCTTTATACGTCATTTACTTCAGACACAAATTTATTGTTGGGAAAAATAATAACATTACACATACAACAATTCACAGAATCGGACGTTATTTTTCCTGTATTTTAATAAACATTCAACCTGGCAAAAAAATTTTGATGAAGCAATCACTCCAACAATGTGCAGAAAAGTAAGATCAATCCAAAACACACATATCAATTGTTTTTATGAAAAGTTATATTTGAGGAAGTCAAAATTTTATTTCAGCTTCATGTAGAGTAAGAAATACAATGAACAAATATTAGGCAAAATTAAATTCACTAAACAAATTTTCATGTAGACACAAAATTACAAAATTCAATGCAAATCCAACCGGTAATTTCAGGGATTTAACGTGTGGACAGCAACATGACCCTCACTAGACGTGTTCGTGTTATGCGACATGACCCTCACTAGACGTGTTCATGTTATTCGCTTTGTGCAAACGATGCATAAAAATAACCTGCATCAATCAGTAGTTATGATATGAACATCAAATTTACCTCTGCTGGGCTATGTAAGTCTTTCCTACGTCAACCATCAGTCCACACATTTTTAAAACCTGTAAAGGTAAAACAAATTGTAAAGTATTGATCAGAACCGAATCTATCTACATAATAAATAATATTGGTTGGCTGGTGATCGTTTCGTAGTACTAGTAAACTCGCACACACAACACTACCCCACTATTCATGAAGCAGTAATTAATTATTAGGTGTCCCTCCTGACATTACCGTAGCGATATCACTATCTAAACTACATTAAATTGTAAAGTAAAATAATTGCTAGTAACTTTACATTCTTCCCCGAATTTTAAGTTTACTTACAGTATCTATATATCTTAAAGTATTCTAACCTATCTAACCCTCCACTCAATTTTTCACTAAATGCAGTATTTATTTTAGGTTACCAGCCCTAATATAAAACATGAAAATGGTCACCATATTGCATAGATAAATCAAGGAAGTGAAATTTACCACCAGCACACTTAACTAATGACATAAGTAGTAACAAACCTTGTCAAGTTTCTGTTCCAATTGCTCAATATCAGCTTCTTGTACTTCCAAAGCAGCTCTGTAACAAAAGAAAAGAGACCACAAGTAATTTCTGCTGCTTTACTGCAACCATTATTAGCCCAGTATATTGGTTGTTAGGTTATGCAATGATGCTGTGTCAATTATTGAGGTTATATAGCATAAAATGATATGGAAGGATTATCATAAATGTTGGACACTTGAGGATTTGGAAGGAGGTAACAGTGATCTATTTCATGGTATTAACCCCGCACGTGCCTGGCAACATGGAGAACCATGATACCTCACATACAGGATAAAATGTAATGTGGCTAAGATTCAAACCAGTACCTCCTGAATACAAGTCTACAGAATCACCACTATGGAAATTAAACAAATTAAGTAAATTACAGCTATGCAAAAGGATCTTAACTACAGTATTTTATTTTCATATTTGTAGATCACTTCACTAAGTAAGTAAGCGAAGTGATCTACAGTCTGTGGTAGCAAAAAATTTAATCAAAAGTAATGATTGAAAAAGTTCTAAAAATTGAAATCAGGAATTCAATACCAAGCCAATAACATTTAGAGATAAATACTAACCTATTATTTGCAAATCCCATACTTAGGAATGAAATGTGTAGGCTAATATTTGAAGGTGCATCACTAAAAAGTCAGTGTGGATGTTAAGCATAATTTGTCACAAGATTACTTTCCAATTCAGAACTTCAAACCCACAAAACGTGTTTACCTGTTAACAGGAATACTCGATAACATTTTTTTAAGAAAAACGAATATCTACAGAATTATACAAATTTACAACAAACCTCAAGAAGTGGCAGTTGTACCACAAACATTTTTAATGGAAGGCCACGCAGCTGCAAACATGTTCCACATTTAGTGATTAGAACTTTACATGATACTTTAATAAAGACGAATGTCGTCTGTAAGCGCCCACCACAATTTGAATTTTCTGATAAGAGGTTACACCCAAATCATCACTTAGGAATTAAACGAAAATAAATCTTACCGAAATTTCGGAGAGTCTCGAAGACATTCTTCAAAATCTATTATAGACTCCATCATTACACCAGAAGGATCGTCAAAACGAATCAGGAAATAAAGACGTTTTATCCCTTTTTTACACTACACGTCAAGCCATTGCAGCTTCTGAATCACCCATGGACTATAACAAATTATCAGGTGGTTAATGAAGTACGGAAGTATTCTGAAAGAGTGCAGCACTAATTGACTGAATCTTAGTGACATCTATCACAGTTTCTCTTCGTTGGTTGTAAGATTCTGACACAGAGTGCATCATGAGTAAGGTTTGTACATCCTGACACCTACTGGCTGTTTTAAAACGTTTAGTTTTATTGTGAGTGAGAGAATGTATTTATTCAAGAATGTGTGTTTTTGAGTTTAAAATATGTGTCTGAAGAAGGTTCACGGTGGCGAATCATCTGGGATGTTGCACCATGCAGCCTGGTAAGTACTAACTGTAATTTCAGAGGATCATCTCTCTGTCTAGTGACTAGAATCCAGTCGATTCAGTACTGGACGGATTTGGATGTAATTTTATGTGGAGGTGGGATTATTCTGCACCACCTCGAAATCATAATTTTTAATGTCCTATAAGCTGTGTTAATAAATGACAGCCGAGGAATGTCTTGAGGGAGGTGCTGCGATAAAAGGAACTGTCCAACAAGGTCAAGTAATACATCTAAATTCACGTTGCAAGGGCCCGAATGAGGAAATAATATGTGTTCTCGTACGGAATAAATTTTTCCTAGCTTGTTGAGATGTAGGGTTTTCGGGGCAAAAAACATGTTGCCCGTGGTCTCCTGCGTTGAACACCTTGTGGCCTTACATAATTTTGAACATCCTACAGCCCGTGATAATAAATGACGTCCGAGGAAAGTCTTGAAGGAGGTGCTGCGATCTGGTGGCCGAAGAGGAACTGTCCAGCAAGGTCAAGTAATATCTCTAAATGCACGTTACAAAGCTGAAATGAGGAAATAATGTTCTAGTACGGAATACATTTTCCGAGCTTGTTGAGATGAAGGGTTTTCGGGGCAAAAAATATGTTGCTCGTGGTCTCCTGCGCTGAACACTTTGTGGCCTTACATAATTTTGAACATCGTACACCCCATGATAATAAATGCCGGCAGAGGAAAGTCTTGAAGGAGGTGCTGCGATCTGGTGGCCGAAAAGGAACTGTCCAACAAGGTCGAGTAATGCCTCCAAATGCACGTTGCAAAGCTGAAATGAGGAAATAATGTTCTAGTACGGAATACATTTTCCGAGCTTGTTGAGATGTAGGGTTTTCGGGGCAAAAAAGATGTCGACCGTTGTCTTCTGCGCAGTGACGCCATGTGGTCTTACAGGGTGTGATCATCGTATTGGAGCTACGTACAGCCTCAGTCTTCAGAGCGAATAAGGAAGCTGGAGGGAAATTTTCCATACTTTCGTATAATCACCTGGAAGATCGCATGGCGTCACAACTCACAAAACCATGATCGACGAAAGGATCTTTGACTCCACGACAACTGGCATTTCACGTATTATTACACAAGAATTCGGTTTCGGTATTCAAGAAGTAAATTAATTTAAGTTTTGTCGACGGATTAAAGTTTTTCCAAAAGTCAGCCAACAATAACAGACACTTTATAAGAAGACCTACACGTGCTGCGCTCTGTAGTGATAGTGAAGAATTTCACACGGAATATTTTCAGTGTTGGAATCCCCAGTGTGGGAATTCGCCGGACATTCCGAAATGTCAAAGGTATAAAACACGTCAGAATTATTACGCCGTGTGCACAACTTGTTTTAAATGTTTGTTATGCATAAGATGGAGAAATGAAGAGAGGAGAAGAGGGAAATGTTAATCAAGGATTTAGAAGTGCTTTTTATTTTTAAAATAACTATTTATAATCTTTCCAATCGTAATTAACAACTGCCTTGTTCATTACCTTCCTCCACATGCACTGCGCGCGTAATGTACGAGCTGCTACCACTTTAGAAGAGACTGAATTATTACACTTCCCCGAAAAAAAGGCCAATTTTGTAGAGAAGATAATAATTACGTTAATTATACCCAAATCCGAACACAGTCACGTAAATCGTAACAAGTTTTGTGTCGTAATTTATTTCGAACATAAAAGTATTTATTTTTCAGTACAAACGGAAATTATAAATTCATAATTTACTTCATTATTTTTGCTAAATTTTAACTGTTTTAATAAGCTGCTGACATCAAGTAATTCCTTCGGACAAACATTTCTTTAAATTTCTTGAATTGTTTTCGTTCAGTTACGTACCAGTTAGTGTAAGAGCCCCTTTGGAAATCAGTGAGGAATTTTTTTTTTTTCCACATCTTCATCTCTTATGCTTTATTTTTGTAGTCCTATTCGTACCTTTATTTCTTATATTATAATTTCTAAAAGCTGCCTAATGGTAGCAGGTCTTGTGAAATAGAACATTCTCCCATTCAGCATCTTGATTAGTCATACCTAGTCGGACAAACTCTTCTCCACGCTGTAAATACATCTTAAATCTAGGCCTTGAGACTTTGCTACCTTGATTGAGGTTTCTGTTTGTCTTCCCGAGATCCTCCTGACAAATTCCGAGACAGTGGCTTAAATTAGGCCACGACCTCTACTTTCCATATCTTTTCTTATTTGTTATTTCATTAATAATCATATCATTCGACGTAAAGAATTCTGAGCCACTGACAACATCGTTAAACAAACCAAAAATGAAATTTGGTTAAAAAGATCACGCCTGTCGTATGGATCTAAATGGCGTTAAATGTGTTGTATTGTTTGATCCATAATACATTTCAAAAGTGTCACAATTAGAAACAAACATTCAGTACTTAAAAGTTTTGTTTTATTTAAGTAGTCTCTTGTGCCACACGTAAAATGTTGCGATTTTATCCGTCAAAAGCTTGAGAACGCATTTTTCATTTTTCATTTAGTTCTCTGCTCAGTTGTTATATTTTTTTTTTCAAAAATGATATGTTTTAAATGGATAGGTGTTTAGTGATATGAAAGTAACTTATACTTTTTGGCTCAGTAAATGATAATGGATACTTTTGTGACATAATTTTTTTTTAAATTATGCAGAGGAAGACTGTTTTAGTTTTGTTTCTCAGTTGACGCGACGAGTTTGACATTCTCTGGTAAAAATTAAAAAAAACGATTTGCATAACATGAAAACTGTTTTTTCAATATGCGGAGAAATGCGACCGAGTGAAGTTGTATTATTGTAAAAATGTATCGTATACATTCCACATGGAATGAAAACAAATAAACCCTGCGGTATTTTATGTTCCAATTGACGTAATACAGAAATATTAATTCATTTTTTTTTTCAAAAAAAAAATATCAGAAGAAACTTATCACAGAATACACAATTATTATTTTGACTTGCATGTTTTGCTGTGTTCATATTCCAGGTCCCCCACCCAGCACATATGAAACAATGAACAATAATTAGCAGTATTAATTGTTATTCATTCTTCAGTAGCACTTTGTTACAAAAATGTCTGTCATGCATTTTCCCAGTCTCGCTAGGATAATATTATGAAACACTTTACAATTGCCTCCTTTTTAATCCTTACCTAGTCGCTGTTTGTGACGTGCGTATCAAACTAACTTCATGAAACAGAGGCCTCAAGAAGCTAATAGTCGCTCAGCTATAAGTTTCACACCCTCCCACCTGATTTACGTAAAATTTATTTTAATATTATACCCCTTCAAGGCCTTTCAAGCGATCTCTTCCCTTGAGGCTTTCTATCCAAAATTCTGCATCTACCTCATGCGTGCTACATCCTGCGTCCATCTCATCCTGCTTCAATTCATAGTCCAAATAATATTTTGTGAAGAGTACAGATTACGCAGTTTTATCCAGTCCCATGTAACTTTATCCTTCTTCTAAGCACTGTGTTCTCAGACACCAGATTATTTGAGCCTACGTAAAAGAAACGAAGTAACAGGATGACTGAGAAAATTACACAGTGAGAAGCTTAATAATTTTTAATCTTTTTCTACTGATTTTACGGTAATAAATATATTATTGTTGTTGAAATGGCCGGACATCTAGAACGTATGAATAGAAAAGAAGGAGACATTGCTCTGAAAAATTAATGTGAGGAAGTCTCAGCACAGATGCGAATCTTAGGGATACAGGTTACGATGATTTGAACTGGTTGATGTTACAGTGAACATGATGATTAACTTTCGGGTTGCATAAATGTAGAGTGACTGTCAGCTTCTGAGGAGTACGCCGCTCCAATCAGTCTGATTTCGTAGCTATTAGATGCGAGAACAGAATGATGAATCCATCTGCCTTCATTCAACAGATGGAGACTTCCGGCACTTGATAGTGAACGGTGGATGTAAGATGTTAGGATATATGAAGCTACAGCAGGAGAAAATGCCTGAGACAGGGGTGTGAGGGCCGAGAAATCGGACTAAAGTAACTTCCCCTGTCTGCACGCTGCTAGTGGAAATGCGATGCATGTTAAATTACTTTCCAATTTGCATAGTTTAATTGTGTGCAGTACAATCTGTTTTTTTAAAAGCTAATTGATTAATTTCCTATAGCACTCGTGCTGAATTTTAGATGTAACAGAAACCGCACGCTTTTACACGAAAAGTCCAGAGTTTTTTTTTAATCTATTTTCTGGATTGCGAGTCTACACACTCACATACACACACACACACACACACAGAAAAAATATATAAAAAAACAGTCCACGTATAAAGGTCGATAATGGAGAAATGCGAGTCGGATTGGTGCCCGAAGCAATTTTATGAATTAATGAAATTATATATTTATCATCCCTTCGGGTTTAGACTTTAATAACACACTCAACCACCGCCGGTGAAAATGAATCTAAAAAATAGTTGAACAAATTGTGAATTTGGCAGCTTGTTACATTTTTTATCTCCATACTTGTGTGGTAGAGAAGGGGGGATATGATTTTGAGGTTTTTTGGTCATCATTTTATGCTACAGTTGCATATGTATGTTATCTACCAATTCGGACGTGAGAGGAGGTTTTTTTGGTTTTTGTGGTCTCTTGATTTTGACCAAAGTTTCATCTGCATTCGTTCAGTTTTAATGCGTTTTCGTGGCACTGATCATTCAAAGTTAATCAGCGGTAGGGTGGTATGGGGGGGGATAGGGGGGTTGGAATTA